TAAATGCAGACCGCTGTATGCTCTTCTAACACTGGAATTCTGTATCCATGAGTTGAAGTTAACCACCCTTGGGCTGAGTAGCAGCTATGTGTGCTCGGGACAAACATGCCTGCTCCCACTGGTCATTCTGTTGTTGGCTGCTGTTGAGTCACCCGAACTCACGGTGACACAAGGGAATGACCGCTGTGATCCAGAGGGCTTTCACTGGCTGATTTTCAGAAGTAGGTCACCAGGCCTCTCTTCCTAGTCCATCTCAATCTGAAAGCTCTGCTGGGTTCAGCATCACAGCAACACTCGAGCCTCTGTGGGCAAACGGGTAGTGGGTGTGCACGAGATACACTGGTTTGATTCAAACTCAGGTCTTCTGCATGGAAGGTGGAAATTCTACCCCTAATGAAATACATACACCATACAGTAGAGCTGTATGTACAGGGTGGAAAAATCACTAAGATGTATTGTTGAGTGAAGAAAAGCATGATGCAGAACCATGTGGACAATAAGATGCCATTTCTGTAAAACAATATATTGTATATGCACATGAGAATGTACACCCAATAGGTTCAGGGACTTTCATGTTTTGTTCATTGCTCGGAAGGAAGGTTGGGCAATCTACTTCCGTAGTGATACTGCCTCGGAAACCCAAGGAGGGATTGCTATGAGTCGGGGCTGACTCGATGGCACATAAGAACAACAACAACAGGTTCCCAGTGTTTAGAACAGAGCCTGGTATGTATTAGCAACTCAATACATATTTGCTGAATGAAAAACCAAAACCAAACCCTTATGAAAGGGTCCTGGACAATACCAGATGAATCCTGCCCAAAAAGGACTCTAGGAAAGAATCAGAGTACCTTTCTAAGCTATAACCTGGGCCAGGAAAAAACACACCCAACACCTGACTCATGGTGACATCAACTGGAACCTATTAACTAGTTCAAAAACCAAACCGTCAGTCATAGAGGAGACATGTTTTTTCCTGGGTCCCCTGCATATATCCTTGCACATAAGCACTAAGTATATGAAGCTCCATCCCACACGGCTGTGTGCAGATCTCTATCCTGGTGACCTGGCGTGCACGTCTGCAGGAATCTTGCCACCAACCTCTACCTGTAAGTTCCCAAATAAAAGCTAGCTCTGATCAACCTGGCTTTTTCTGCCTCTTTTTTCAGAATCAACCTGTGCCCCTCAGAGCCACTCCCGCTGCTGGTCTGGTGGGATGCGACATCCCCTGCCATCAGGTCGATCCAGAGTCGTGGCAACCCCCGTGTTTCAAAGTCGACATGAGCGCCACAGGGGGTCTTCGATGATCCACAAAGTCTTCCATGATCCAGTGGAAGCAGATCACGAGCCTTGTCTTCCGTGGTGCTGCTGGGTGAATCCACTAACCTTTTGCTTCATTGAGTTGAGTGCAAAGCAGTTGTGCCACTCAGCAATCTGTTGAATACGTACATATAAATGCATAGAAGAGAGTTTGGGAAAATACACATTAAATAAGCAGTTGCCCTCGAGCCTGCTAGACTCATAGCAATCTTGAGTGTGTCAGAGAACTGTGCTACACAGGCTTTTCAATGGCTGTTTCTTTCTGGAAGTAGACCGCCGGGCCCTGAAGAAAGGTGACTTCTGAGGCAACCTTTTAGTTGGCAGTCAAACTCATTAACCATCTGCACTACCACACATTAGAAAGAGCAATGAATTCTGTCAAATGACTAGGATTTGGGAGGACAGGTAGCCAAGGAAAATTTGGGGTTTGGTTTTGTCTGGTTTTACTCTTTTACAAGGACAACACAATACTGTATTACTTGCATACATTAAAAAAAAATCAAAAGACAACACAGCACAAAATATGATCAAACCAAGGTTTAAAGTTAGTCTCAACTGAAACTATCAGAGAAAAAATGAACAGGGCTAAAAATAAAGTTCTGCCTTGATGAGCAAGAAAAGCTGATTCTAAATATTAACCTCAGCTCCGTTATAAGCAGCAGGATGGTGAGGTGGCTCCAGACAGGAATGACAGCCCTCCCATCCTAGATTACGAGATGGGGCTCCATCCCCAACCAGTCTGCTTTAATCAAATCCTATTTCTGAGTGTTTTTTTTTTTTTTTTTTTTTTTAATTCTGTGTTCACAAGAAGAGTTTATGAAGGCTCTGGACACAATGAAGACAGAAAGTATCCACCTTGGTAAGGAGTTTTTTTTTTTTTTTTTTTTTTAAGGAAGCAGGAACAGAAAAGAAAAGATCTTTCAGTTCAGTGTTTGGAGGTGACATTTCTCCTTCACAGGGAGGGTAGGACCGGCTCAGGCACAAGTTTTCAGAAGAATCACGAATAGACTGGTCTCTGCTGATTTAGAGGCGTTCAAAGCCAGGAACACCCACAGGGCATTTTCAAAGCTGTTTGGAAACAGCCCTTGTCACTCCAGGTCCGTTTATCACTTGACAGCCTCTAATCCTCAAAGACTGCGGCCAAGCAATTGTCATTGTCCCCAGGGGCAAGATGATCAGAGCTGTTTCGAAACTGCAGGAGCAGAGGCGACGGTGGAGCGGAATGTCGGACTCCGACGGGTACACGTCGTGCCTTTTACCTGCCTCTGCGATTCAGCTGCTGCGACGGTTCGGACAGACGTGGCTTGCTATAAGCAAACTGCTCACCAGGAGGAAAAGTCTAGGAGCGCCTAAAGTCCGCCTGCTCTGGTCGGCCCGCTTCTGCCAGGTCGCAGGGTCGCTCAGTGTTTCACAACCCCGGCCTCCTCGCCTACAAGAATGGTTATTTTTTAAAACTCTGGCACTAGTGCTCTAAAACGCGGGTTTTCCAGGGCGTGTAGCAAGACTACAGACTGCGGGACACTGAGAACAAGAGGAGCCCTAAGAGAAACCCGGAGCCTGCAGGGCGGAGCACCAGGTTCGCACAGGGTGCCGGCTCCCCAGCACTTCCGCCGGAAGTCGTTCTCCCGGGCTCGCGGTGCATCGGGTCACGGGTCCGCCGGAACCCTCGCGCCACGCACCGGAGGCGCCGGCGCAGTGCGGCTGGCAGTTGGCGGTAAGACCGCCTCCGCGGGACTCGCTGGCACTCTGGGTGGCCCAGGGCCGTCGTCGGTCTTTCCATCTTAACTTTCCTTCGCTGCACTCCTCCGGGGCCCAGGCACCGGCGGGCCAGCTGCATCCCGCGCCGCCCACCTGGGCTCGGGCCCCCGGGCAAAGCTCGCGCTCAGGCCCTGCCTGCCGGGAACCCGGAATAGAAGGTTGCCGTAGGGACACCCTTTTTTCGAATCCCCAGCATGGGCGCCCCAGGGATAGGGATAGACACGAGACTCAAGGCTCCTGCCTTATTTCTTCCAAATGAGCGTCTTCTGCCGAAGTCTTTAGAACCCATTCACCCTGCGCGCGCTCTGTCCTCCCCAACTCCACATCCACAATGTATTTCTAGTTCCGTCCCTGGTTCCTCCCGTCTAATTGTGCCAGTGGTTCATTGCTCTGTCTCCATCCAGATCCAGCCTCCTCGGACCATGTCACCTTTGTGCGCCGCCTGTGGTGTCAGGCACGCACCGCTGCGCAAGAGGAGAGGCTGTTTTTGAATTCTCTGTGACTGTTGGAAGCAACGCCAAAGCTACCTGCTGAAAATTATCCAACGGAGAGCAAAATGTAGCCGGGGGGCCCAGTCACCTCGTAAGATTTGCTGCTCCCTCTTTGATTTCTCTGGCCTGCAATCACGTGAAAAGGAGCCCTGGTGGCACATCGGTTAAGCACTCAGCTGATAGTCAAAAAGTGGATAGTTGGAACCCACCCAGTAGTATGTGGGAGAAAAGACTTGGCCATCTGGTCCCGTGAAGATGACAGCCTAGAAAACCCTATGGGCCGGTTCTATTCTGTCACCTAGGGCCGCTGTGAGTCAAATACTGACTGGATGGCACCCGATAGCAACAACAATAATCATACGAGTGGTTTCTGGTTTGGTTTTCTCAATTGGAATTCCTGCCCAGACTTGTATCTCCCAATGCCAGAAGTAACAACTTCCAGTTTATCAAGTAACTTGGTTTATGGAGAATTCATGTGTCCACTTGCACACATGTCATTGTTTGGGGAACACACACACATAGAAACTGAAATAAAGTGCAGAGGGAGTACAGGGTGTGGTGGCACTGGTGGTAGGGGCCCATTGGCTTCGTCTTGCCACCATCATCAGGTCTTGGGCAGTGTCAAGTGAAGATGCTGATGGTTTGGTTGTGGAGATGCCAGGTCATGTCACTGTTAAAGGCTGATTTGTCTGGGCCTGTGAGTTGACTGGTGGCACAAAGGATTTCTCCCTGACTACTCATCTGAAGGTTGGCAGTTCAAACACCCAGCAGGGGTGTGGAACAAAAGCCTGGGAATCTATTTCCATAAGGATTATACCCAACGCAACCCAATGGAGCAGTTCTAGTCATGAACATAGGGGTTTGCCATGAGTTGGAATTGATGGCAATGAGTTTGGTTTTCTGTGTGTGTGTTGAGCGACTCTGGTTCCAATGGGTGATCCTTGGTAGTTGGGGCTGTTGTCCTGGAGGGATGTATCGTAGTACACGATGCCTAATTCTGGGCACGGCCCCCAACAGCATGTGGGGGGTGCTTGTTCCAATGGCTTTATCAAGTAGAATCATTGAGTACATTCCATAGCAATATCTCTATGAATAGTTTTATTTAAAGAAATAAAAACAATGATCTGTTGCTGGGGAGGGAGGGTGGATTCACTCCCCCGCCAACACACACACACTTTGTTTTATTATTTGCCAGGGAGTGATGGTGCAAAAGCAGACCACAGACTTAGGTTGGGAAATTCTAAAGAGAGAAGGCTCAGGACAGTCTCGGGGCCCCACTAAAGAGCAGCAGGGCTCCAGGGCCTGTCTTGAAGGCTGACAGACTCAGTGTGGGTAGCGACTGGGCTAGGTGGTGTCTGAGGACACACGCCACATAATGCATCCCCGAGCAGCAGGTGGTTAATGTCTTTCTGTTCCGTTGTAGCCTCCGGCATGGACTTCCTGGTTCTCTTCTCGTTGTACCTGGCTTTGATGCTGCTTGGCGGTGGTCTGATCTGCATCTGCTGGAGAACCCAGTACTTGAACGGCCTGGTCCAGGGAGGAGCACAGGTAACAGTGACGCTTGAGGACTGCTGAACTCAGGACTGCTCACCCGTGTCCTGAAAAGACAAAAAGCGACGCCATTTTTATTCATTTGCTCATTTATTCCTTCACGTATGGCATTTGTCTATTCAAAAGGCTCCCTCTCTGGTTACTGCTGGAAGCAGTGATGGTGCTTTGCGGTTTGAAGGTGGCATTCTGAAGGCTGACTGTTTTCCTCTGTGTTTGATGCCTGTCGCGGGGCATATATGTGAGCACTGTCTGGTTTGATGGATGAAACTGGGGGCATCTAATCAGAAAGCTGGGTGTCAAGCCACCCACCGTCCTCTTCCTTCAGGGATCAAATTGGGCAAAAGTGGGGTGAGCGGTCCTTGGGAGGGGGTTGATGTGGCCATGTGCCTGGTGAGCCAGGGGCAGGTCCCAGGGCTGAGATTGGAACAGTATTACTGATCCTCCCTCCCCACTCCCTTTTCCCTGAAGCCTCTGATGTGGAGCCTTCTTTGGGGTCAGGGTGGAAACGGAGGGGTTGGCAGTTGAGGGATGTCCTCCTCTTTATTCTCTCTTAAATCCCATCCCTGCCCTCAGGCTAATGCCGCCCTTAGAATTACCAGTGTTTTTCCCTACACGTGGAGATAGGAGTCCTGATGGCACAGTGGTTAAGTGCTCCCCGCTAACTGCAAGGTCAGTGGCCTGAGCCCACCCACCAGTTCCGTGCAAGAAAAAACCTGGCAATCTGCCGCTGTGAAGATGCTAGCCCGGACACCCTGTGGGGCAGTGCTCTGTCACGTGGGGCCTCTGAGTCGACTTGCTGGCACTTAACAACAACAGCGCACATGGCGAGGCCGGTTTGTTTGGGAGTGGGAGGAATGAGCTGTGATGCTGAACCTTTCCCTGTGGTTTTGTTTCAGGCGATTTCCCGTGTAATTCCAGAATGCCTTCAGAGAGCCGTGCGGAGACTGCTTCATTACCTCTTTCACACACGGTACTGATATTTCAGAGGGAACCAGGGTGGCACAGTGGTTAAGTGCTCAGCTGACAACTGAAAGGTCAGCAGTTTAAACCCACCAGCCCCTCGGCGGCAGAAAGATGAGGCAGTCGGCTTCTGTAAAGATTGACAGCCCTGGAAACCCTATTAGGCAGTTCCACTCTGTCCTCTAGGGGCGCTGTGGGTCAGAGTGGACTCCCCAGCAGTGGGTGTGGTTTGGGCTTTGTTTCCATGAAGATTGACAGCCTTGGAGACCCTGTGGGCAGTTCCACTCTGTCCTCAAGGGGTGCTGTGGGTCAGAATCAACTCGATGGCAACAGATTTATTTATATTTCAAAGTTTAAATGTTATCCTTTTTCTGTCTCAGTGGTGAATTGTTATCCTCTAGCTTCTAGAAAAAGCTCTGTGCCTAAGGCATTTGACCGATAACCAGAAGGTTGGCAGATCAAACTCACCAGCCACTCCATCAAAGAAAGATGGGCTAGTCTACTTCTGTAAAGATTTACCAGCTTAGAAACCTAATGGGGTTGCTGTGAGTCAGGATTGACTCCATGGCAGTTTGATTTTTTTTTTTTTTTGTCTAGCTTCTGGAAGTTTCCTGTGGTTTCTGGCCTGGTGGGGGGAGGGGCACTGGGAAGCATCAGAGTCCTGGGTTCAGAACCTGCTTTCCTCCACGGTGGGGCCTTGGGAGGGGCTGCTTCTCTCTGGGCTTCATTTTCTGCAGCTGGGAGGTGAGGGCGTGACATGGGGGCTTTGGAGGCCCCCGGCGGGCTCTCAGCTCCTGTGACTTGTCTGTGTCCCATGGTTGTGGAGTAGCCTCTCTGCCTTGCCTAGTTACGGTGGTGGGATTGCGGGACAGACGTGCTGTCCCATCCAGAGGGTGGGTTCACGTCCACACCCATGATCAGGTCCACGGTGACACCAATGTGGAGACGACCAGGAAGTCAGAGAGGAGATTGGTACCTTGTGAATGTCGTGTGAGCGACTGCAAAGAACGGCAGGCATAGTGGCGGCAGCCACAAGGTCCCCAGGTGCACAGACAGGTGCCCGCTCTTCTACTAGCCTAAAGGTTGGCAGTTCGAACCCACCCAGAGCCACCTCGGAAGATGGCCCTGGCAGTTTGCTTCTGATAAAACTGAGCCCTTGAAAACCCCAGGGAGCACGGTTCTGCTGTGACACGCACAGGGTCTCCAGGAGTCGGAATTGACTCAGTGACACCTGGGTTTTTTCAGCCACGATGCCACCTAGGAGTGACCGGAGACCTGACGGGTTTTGTAGCTGCAGCTGAGCACCCCCAAACACAGAACTTCCTGGCCCCACGTTCAGGAGCTGGCTGGCTGGCAGCCTGGCAGCCATGTTGAGAGCCACCCGCCCCGCCTGCCTGCAGCTGCTCAAGCACCAGCCCCCACGACGGCATGCGGGGAAGGAGGAGGCGAGAGGGGGCTGAGCAGAGATGAGGGCGGGTCCGGGAAGCGTGGGTCGAGTAGGGCGCCGCCTCCCCTCTGCCGCTAACCGCCCTCTGCGGGGTTGACAGGAGGCCGCTGCTTCCTCCTGCCTGGCGTGTCAGCCAGTGTGTCCCCAGCTCTCAGCTCCACTCGGAGGGGCTTCCTTCTGAGATCCCCCATCATGCTTCTGTAGCGTAGAGTTCTGTTCGTCTGTAAGTGAAAATCCCCGTCAGGGCGCTGAACCCCCTTAGTCGGAACCCCATTTCTGTGTTCTCTGAGGGAAGGAGTGCCCCTCAGAACAAGCATTTGGCTGCTGCACAAGGCTTCCGTCCATTTCTCAGAACTGATTTTGGTGACCGACAGTGAGGGCCTGCTGGCCGGCATCTCTGAGGACGGCTCCGGCTCTCAGAAGGTGCAGTAGGTTACCCTACTCCCTGCCGCCAGCTGGGAGGCCGGAGCTCAAGGGAATTGAACCGAGGGGTGGGCTTTAGGAGATGGGGGCATCAGAGGGCTGTCGGCGTGGCAAGCGAGGAAGGCTTTGCAGTTTAAACAGCTTCATCGTGAGGGAGGTCAGGGCCAGTCATCTCAGGAGCAGGCAGGACAGCTGAGGAAAAGGATCAGCCTTTGGAATGGGTCCTGGCTGACCGCAACTCCGTCAGGTTCAGGGCAACCTGGGGAGGGTGAGGCTGGGGAGGGAGAAGGTCAAAGAATGATCCTGAGGCCTGAGTCGGACAACAGACGCGGACCCAGAACCTTCTGTGGGGAGGTCCGAAATGGCTGTGGCACACAGGCACCCACTTTGTCCACTCAGGCTGTCTCTGGAGACACCCCCTCCCCAGTGGGTCCAGTGCCTCTGCCAATGAGCGTCTCTGTGGGGTGGAGGGTGGGCGGGGCTGAGCAGCTGTGGGTGGGGCTTGTGTGGACGGTAGGGGATTCTGGGAATGGAGGATGTTTGTAAGCGGGAGATAGAATGGGGCCTGGGCGAGGGGGTGAAGATGACGGCCTCTGCCATCGCTTTGCTGCTGTGGGCCAGAATGGTGAGCAGAGCGGCTCAGATCCCCGACTTCTCAAGTCCCCTCCAAGATTGACGAGCTGTGCGAACACAGTGTTTGTCATCGTTGTTGGGACTGTGTCTTCTGGAGCCTCCGGCTTCATATAATCAAGTGCCAGGCGTGTCTCGTTTTACCTGTGACAGATATTTCATAGAAGTCACATTGTGGAGGACTCGTGCCAGTCCTGACTCTCAACTCTGCAGCCTTGGCCTTGGCCATGAACGTCTTTGGACTAATTTTCTCATTAGAAAAATCCATGAGGAACTTGGGCGGACTGTTTTCCTTTTTGTTTGTTTTGTTGTATTTTGGTCAAAGGGCACACGGTGAGTCAGGTGCCCGTTGAACAAGGCGGCTGCTGTCCTTGTTGTAAGGCTCCTTTGCCGCGTCCGAGTGAACCAGCCGTGTGCTGTCTCCTTTCAGAAACCACGTCTTTGTTGTCCTGCACCTCGTCTTGCAAGGCCTGGTCTACGCTGAATACACCTGGGAGGTAGTTGGCTACTGTCGAGAGCTGGAGTTCTCCCCGGGCCCCCTTCTTCTGCCCGCGGTGCTGCTGCTGGTGAACCTGTTCTTTTTTGCTCTTAGCTGTGTAACCAACCCGGGTAAGTTGAGGTTCTTCATATACAGACTAGTGACAGCCTGTCAGCCTTACCGATGATGCCGCAAACCAGTCATAACGGGACAGTTAGTTCACTCTCTCCAGGTCTTCCGCACAAGGTCCCACAGGTAGTGTTTGCATTTTCTGTCACTTCTGAGTATTTTCCAGTTGTTTTTTCCTTCTTGGACCTATGAGTTACTTAGAACTGTTTAAAATTTTCTAGTACATGTAAATTTTTTAGTTTACCTTTTTTTATATATATTTTCACTTCTTTGTGTAGGAGCCCTGGTGGCAGAGTGGTTAAGCACTGGGCTGCTAACAAAAAGATTGGTGGTTCAGAACCAGCTGGTTGCTCTGTGCGAGAAAGATGAGGGGGTGGGCTTCTGTAAAGATGGACAGCCTTGGAGACCCTCTGGTGCAGTTCCACTCAGTCCTCTAGGGGCGCTGTGGGTCAGAATGGATTCCATACAGTGGGTGTGGTTTGGGCTTTGCTTCCGTGAAGATTGACAGTCTTGGAGACCCTGTGGTGCAGTTCCACTCTGTCCTCTAGGGGC